GAGGGCCGTGGGCTGCGCTCTGCGGCCGCGACCTGCTGATCGCCCCAAAGCAAACGGCGCGGGGATGCAGAGCCCCAGTCCCGGCTCCTCCTCCGCCCCAAGCCCGCTGTGCTTGCAGGGTGTTACCAAGTTACTGCACTGCTAAGAAAGGTTAATTTTCTCCTCTCTTCCTTCCCTGCCATGCCCCGTCCCCTTACAGCTGTACCGATTAGTTGGCTGGAGAGCAGGGAGGGACGGGCGAGAGGAGAGGGTGGGATGCTACTTGTCGTATGTCTCTGGCTGTCGGGGCTGCCTGTGGCGTGTGTGCACCCAAAGGCGCCCGCATGCGCAGGGCCCTGCACCCCAGCGAGCTGCGAGCCACAGCTGGCTGTGAAGATGAAGAAAATTAATTGCTGTGCTGGCTAGCCAGGACATGGGGTGGCTGAAGGGGAAGAAGCTGTTACGTTTTGAGAAGAGAACTCCGACGCGTGGGAAGAAGCGCCCATTAGCACATAGAGCTCTGCGCTGTGCAGTAAGTCGTTCCCGTCAGCCCCAACCCAGCCCTCGTACGAGCTGACACATCTGAAGGCAAGAGCTGACCCATCCAAACCTCAGCTCTGGGTTTTGCCACGTTCAGGGGGACCAGCAGCCGCCCCAGGGCTCCCCTTCCTCCTCCTCAGCTTTACCTGTGTGTTACTTCGAGGCACCCTGGCCCTGACTGCAGATGCTTTTATCAATGGCTTGTTCTGAGCTGCTAAGGAAAATTCTGTTCTAAGGAGAAAAAAAAAATCTGTACTAGAGAAAAGATTGTTGCAAGCAAATTGTTTCATTTCTTAGTTTCATTTGCCAAGTTGAACAATTTTCTCACATTGTAGCAAAAGCACTTCAATTTTCCTCAAAAACCAAATCCCAAATCCCTGTGCAGAACTTTCTTAACAAGGATAAAGAGGAACTTCATTCCTAAATTCCCAAAATACACAAAAAAACACAAAAATGGCATGAATCTTTAAATTCCAAACACACACTATTCCCAATAATTGCAAAAAACAATGTTCTCTTCCCTCATCCTACAGTTATTTTGGGGGAAAAGTAGATAGTTTAATAACTCACAATATAATAATCATACATGCAAAGCCACCCTACACCGAAATGAAATAGGTCCTGGTCAGTTCCCAACACCTCACCGGTGGGACGTGAGGTCTTGTTCTGATTTGCCCAGGGAAGTGATTTCCCATAGATGCAGAATGGCTACTTAATGTACTGTGCTCTTAAAAACATCACACAGATATTTTCCAAAGTGGATGCAAAATTCTAAGATCTTTTAATACTATAGTTTCCATGAAAAACGGTGTTTTAGTGAGGCTGAATTGGCTGTTCAAAGAACTTTTTGCAGTCACTTGAGGGTGACTGGTGGCTGACACTCGTTTTATTTGGCAAGAGCCTTAGCGTCGGCTCATGCATAATCTTTTTCATTTTACTCCTAGTCCAGATAGGCTCTTGCAAGGCTGGGGCAAGTGTCCTTGGGCTGTTTTCTTGGACACCACAAGTTACGAACATCCACTTTGCTCACAGGATGGTAGCGGCAACGAGTATTGTTAATGTCTTATAGTTAGCGTGTCACTTATCACAGAACAGTTTATGGACTTTCGCAAATTATTCTCAGGAAGTAAAAGAATTGCTTCACCTGCCATTGAAATGCAACTGTAGCCGGGACGGTGAGCAACGCTGCTCGACGGTGTGCAGCTCCACCACACCTTGGGCTTACAGGGCAAGGCTACAGTATCCAGCTGAAGCAACTAGAGGAAATCGGACAGAAAAGGAAAAATTATCCAAAAGAAGCTTAGACCACAATGTTGGAAGTATTACTGTTCTTAGGGAACACTCTTTATTACTCTTTGTTACTCTTTATTACTCTTCGTTACTCTTTATTACTCTTTACTGTTACTTAGGGAACACTCCTTATTAGTTTGTTCATTTTTCTGTGACAAATCCAACTGGTCTGGACCTTGGGTGTGTGTGCTACCAGCACTGCAATATTTCTAAAAGCGTGAAGTGAGGTTCATGACACCCAGCTTTGGTTATTCCTAACACAGGAGTCTCCACCGGAGAGAGTCCCTTTACAGTCAATGGACAGAAATAGTCACATCTATCTCCTCGGTAGGTATGTGTATTCCTCAGAGGACTGTGCTGAGACGAGAGGAGCTGCTTCCTGGAGGTGCCTAATTGTCCCCATTAACTCTAAAAGGACTCTAGAGGAGCTGCCCTAGAAGGTGTCTGTGTTACAGGCGTGTAAATTTGGGTAGGTGAATCTCACCCTATAAGAAAACTGGTCCAGCAGAAAGAGTTTGGTTTTTTTTCCTTGAATACCCTTCTCTTCCTGGATTTCCTTTCAATGCCCTGGCCCAACTCAACAAACAATTGCACGTAACACAGAATGGCGTTGCACTGCTATATTTAACTAGATTCTTTAAAGATGCTCAACATTGACCTGTACCTAACACTTCACCAAACAAAAACAAATTATCATTAAGGAAAAGCAAATTAATTTGCCTTTAATAATCTGTTTTGTTAAATACCCTGGAGAGGTGTTAAATTAAGCTTGCTGCAATGCCAAAACAATTCTGTTGGCACTTCCCGAACACAGTGCATACAGCCACATAGCTCCCACTGCCTCTTTCAGGGTCCCAGGATTTATTTGGCAGGCTTGTTCTTCTTTGCAGGTGCAGGGAGGCTGTTCAGATCTTCTTGTTCGGTGACGTTGTGATCGGAGCTGTCATGAGAATGGTCCTTCATAACGCTGTAGTATACTGGGGCGGTGTACGGCACGGGGTTCTCGGCACTCTTCTCTTCGCACTTGCATAACTTCCTGAAGGCAGCTCTAAACTTCTGTGACATGAGGTTGTAGATGATGGGGTTGATGGCACTGTTCAGGTAGATGCACATGCGGCAGAAGAGAAGGAACCAGATGTTCAGGTACGGAGGGTCCATGAAGGAGTTCACCACCACCAGTGTGCGATAAGGCATCCACAGAAGGGCGAAGAGGACCACCACGACAGCCAGCATTTTGGTCACCTTGCCAGTGGCGATATGCAAAAAGAGAAATAGTCAGATGATGCTAAATCTCCAGCAGAACTTTCCCACCTGGAGGAATGGTGCAGACAGCTAATTCAGCCTACATATTGCTTACATCTCTCTTTAAGCATTTAAAATAGGCATCCAAACCATGGTGCTATTCCTCTCTGAAACTGTTTTGTTCATGAAAAAATCTTGCCTAAATAAACCCCTTAAATGACAGGTTTTCACCTACCATTAAAGAGCCTTTAAAACTCTTCAGGACAAGCATCCACCAGCCTGGAAACGGGCTGGGATAATCATGACAATTTCTGTACCAGAAAGCAAATTTGAAAATTGTACATAACAATAAATCAATGGGGAAAATAATTTGTGCAGAAGTGAGGACCTGAGTTTTGGGGTGCCACGGGGTATACCTCAACTCCCCGCCTAGGATTTCCTCTGCCAGCTGTATTGTTCCAGGTAATAGGCTCCTGGTACAGAGCAGCACTGGCAGCAGAGGAGACTGTCTGCAGTCTTGCACAAATTCCTACTTGTGCTGATATGGGAGTTACTTAGCTAATTGGTATGGATTATTTTAATTTGCAGCACACTAGGGAAGTACTACATTAACATATTAAGAATAAGAAGATACTGAGAATTCAGAAGTGAGCAGAATTGCCTGCAGCTCGACTCAAGCTTGTTTAAGAAAATGGGCTTTTGTTCTGAAAGTCCAGTGTTCCTAATAATTTTGACAGCTATTTCTGGTCAGTGACAATCATTCTCCAACAAATACTTACAGACTACACATGTCCCCAAGGAGGAAAGTATGAGTAAACACTGATGCTGCAAGCATATTAAGGCAGTGGTGTTTCAAACGTCAGAAAGGGAGTTGTGCAATGAGTCCAGCCCTCAATATGGAAATAAGCACTTAGATCAGTCTCTCCGCGTGTCTTGGAGTGCTTTTTTTACTTCATCACAAGCAACTGCGCCTTCCTGTAATGCTGTGAGTATTTCAGTTACAAAACTTTCACTACAACAAAGGGACTATTATCAAGCTGAGGCCAAAATAGAAGTGTTTTGCTGTGTGTGGTTTAATGGGAATGTGAGGACACTCCACAGAATAAGATCTTGCAGCGATATGGGGAGTGCTGAGGCTGTCACTAAGACTGCAGCACGTTTGCTGCAGTTTGTTGCCTTTTGGGAAAGATATGAGAGATTGTACAAGTTTTGTCAGTAAAAAGTAGCCTTTGGGCAGGGCTGGCTGGATCGAGAAGAGCGAGAACCATCTCACGAGCTTTTGGTTTCAAGCCACCCTACTAGTGTGCAACTGCTAGGGCGATCACTGGTTTACAGAAGTACTCCTGAGCTGGAGGCTGGGAGTGGACGGCAGCTGCCTGGCACACCATCAAAACCACCATGTACCAGCATGGTTTTAGCCGCTGCCTCCGCCGAGGCTGGCAGGGCAATCCAGGCTCGGGCACCCCTTCCCAAGGGAAGGAGCATCCTGGCAGCAGTGGTGAGCCAGTATCGCTGTGGTCTGCACTGCAAGACCTGGGAAGAGAGAGCTCCCAGGTACCGGCTCAGCCCAGGAAGGAGCAGATTTTGCTTCAACACCATATGCCCCATGAGCAGCACATATGGATGGGACCCGTGTTCTCTACTGTTCTAAGCATCTTTATAGCAAATAGAGACGCAGCGATGGAGCTTTCAGCCAGCCTGCTGCCTTCCACAGACCCGCTTCTGAGCTTTGAAGAGAGAATTGCTTTTGCCATATTTTTGATGCATCTGAGGTCTCTTTTCTGAAAAGCTGAATGAAGTTGATCTGAACAAAACTGTGCTACAGCGAAATGCAACAAGCTCTTCATCTTAAGTGATCCTAAGTACCATTTCAGTCAGAATTTAATCCCCCTCCTAATTCCTCCTGGGAGATGAGGGCAAACTCTGTGCTTTTCCATCCCATGCAGAGACTGAACACGTCCCTGCCCTGCCTGGAAGGTTCCATGTTAAAGGGCTGTCTTGGGGTTAAGGTTGGTGGGAGTCTTTCCACCAACATCAGCAGTACTAGGCAGCAGGATTGCTGCAAAATATGTCCCAGGAGACCAAAATACCACACCTCTGCGGGTCCTCACTGAGACACAGGCACTCCTCACTCAGCGGTTGTCTCAGTTCCTGAGTTACCCCTCGCAGGGCTCGGGAGAATAAATCCCTGAGCTTTTATACACTTCGCTCTGCTCTCTGGCAGGTGTCCCTTCTGGCTGGGAGGCTTCTTGTGCGGCTGAAATGTCTCCTTTAAAGCTAACACATTAATACTGCTCATGTGCTGTCTCCTGAGACTGAAACGTCTTTGGCTTTTCAACCACTGTAACCCTCTGCCTTGTTTTACTGTTCAGGAACCCACGAAGGCTGTGAACAGTGATCTGAACTCTGCATCTGAGTGACAACACCAGGGCAAGTGTATCCTAATAAGGCTGAAAACTAAGTTCATTCTGGTCCTTTCTGAGACCAAAAGAAATGTAGTCTGGAAAAGAACCAGTGATTCATCTGCTTTTTAGCCATAACTGCCCCAGCTTTTTGGCTGGTTGTTATGGAAATGCCAGCAGTGCCAGCAAGCGCTTGCCCAGCTCCCACCCAAGCGAGATCCCAATACCTCCCTCCAGACTGCAGAAGACCACACAGTGCTGTCATCCAAAGAGCACTTGCTGCTACCATCCTACAGCCCTGCGAAAAAGCTGTCCTTGTCCTGGGAGGGGAAACCAGCGGGAAACAGCAACATGAGGATTTATTACCTCTGTCTCACTAAATGCCTTCAGTGCTCCCCGAGGACGCTGCATCCAGACCACAAGCTGGGACGGGCAGCCCTGCCCTGAACTTGCTGTAAAGTGGAAATTTGCCTTTTAAAACCGACCATGTTCTCCTGGGTGTGACTTTAGCAAAGTTGTGTCGACACAGGATGTCTCCTCTGGATAAAACCTAACCGTCTATCCCAAAGTCACTCTTGTATCGCCATTGTGGGGAAAGAAATCTCTAGCGTCGTCTGCATGCATGGCTGAAACCTGTCTCCATGCCTTTCCTCACTCTACCTTGCTGAGGCAAGTGACTGTAGCACATTGAGGTGATCTGAACGTGCTTCTGGTGCTCATATGAAAAATTAACCTAATCAGCACTGAGGAGAGCTTCGGACAAATTAACCCTAACTGGAGCAGTCCTGAATTATGGCCCCAAAAAAGCCAGTTTTGCTGCAACCTCAAAACATCCCTCAGGGAAGCACCAGCTCAGGGACAACAATTTTTCTAACAAGTGTTTTGCAACAGCTCTGTTGTGCATAGTGTGTGCACACAGCAGCTGTAAAGGAGCCATGGATAGAAGCAAGATGAGGGTTTGTAAGCAGAAGGGGATGTTTTACTAGAACAGCTGGTATTTAGCTGAAAACCACTTCTGAGCATGTAAGCCAGTGCTGTTGCTCGATGGCCAAGGGCATCTGCTGTACGGACCCCTGACTACGTGCTGCGTCCCTATGCCAAAGCTAAAGGGCAGCTCATCTTCCACCAGGCACCTCCGTGGGCCAAGCCCCGTGTAACTCCCAGAGCAAACCTGCACTGAGCATCCCTCTCGCTCCACACAAGGTGGTCGGCATCTTGCGTCCCTGCACAGCCCTTCCAGCCCACCTCCTGCCCCCGCGGCCACAGACGCTTCTCCCCAGCCAGTGTCACCCCTCCTTGTCCAGGCACCAGCGTCCTGAGCTGCAGCATCCTTTTTTAGGAATCCCACTCCCTCTAGTGGTCCCTCCTCCGGCAGGTAAAATACGTTTTGCTTTGCTTCTACAGGTGATAAATACAGCAAAACCTCACGCCTTGTCTTGTCCTGCTCTGGACATACGTGTTTTGGAGGCACCAGTGAGGGAACAGCAGTATCTCCATGCTCTGAAAAGCCAGAAGTGCAGCGCTGGGGCTGCGTAGGAGCACACAGTGAGAATTGTATTTCCAAACTCCGCATCTCCACAGCAAAACATCTCCAGGCATCCAGGCTCTTTAGAGTCAAGGGAGAAAAATGGGCACCTCTGGGGTAGCCCCTTTTGGTCATCTCCCAGGGGACTCTGGGCATGGGGCATGAAACAGCCGGTTCCCCTTTGACCGTAAAGAGAGGCCAGAGGAGGAGTGCCGACGTGGGTGCCTGTACCCTGGTCAGAGGGACCACCTGAGCTACACACACCGAACGCCCACCCTCCCACCCCACTTTGCTCTCCTGCTGACACATCCTCCGGGAGCTGAACCACCCTCGCACCACTGGGCTGTGATGGGAATCTGGCAGATGCTTCTGCACCATCACCCCAACAAACTCAACCGTGTTTGTGGGATTGGGGTCCCTCTTTGCCACATCACTGGGATGCAACTTGCTGTCTGCAGGGTATTCTAAAGCTCCTGCTGCACATGTGAAGCCTGCCAGACAGCAACAGCATTGCTGTTTTGGACCAGACTTGCAAGCGTGATTTCTAATGGTGTCTTCAGTGGTTTAGTCTACAAGGCAATTGTATTTTAAAGCAGCTGCACCCTCGCTTCAATTTTCCCCAGTGGTAGCATGTGTATCACTTTCACAGCCTCCTCATCACCCTGTCAGATTGGAGACCACCAGCATTGGTTATTAGAGAAGTTTCCAATGCTGTGTCCTCGCTTCTGATGCTCAGGACAAGGACCTTTACCAAGGGCCCCCATGGAAATTCCTGGTAATGTTTTCAAGAAGCTGTCAGCACTTCTCAGGAGAGCATGAGAGGCTGATGCCATTACCTGTCAGGCTGCCCTTTCCTTTCCATCCTGGCCACGGGTGATTAATGAGCAAGGAAACCTGCTTATGAGCTCCTCAGCCAGCGTCAGCTATTGCAAAGCAGTGTCTGGTGGTCCGAGTTGAGATCCATCCGTGTTTCTTCTTTCCATAAGTTTCCTCTGGCTTTGAGGGCAGTGATGCTCTGGCTACCAGTAAATCAGAGGGGGAACCTTTCTTCTGGTGAAGGCAACACAGGACACCAGTGTCCAGGCTGCTCCCTTTTAGGGCTCATGCCTGACCATTGCACAGGGACTTTTTGCCATTGATTTCCCTGGAGATGGACCTTGCCTGGAGAAGACCACTCAGGTCCCTTCTGTGCCTCTCTCCCACTTTTGCTAAAGCCAAGCTGGAGAGGTGTCCCATGGACTCAGGTTCTGGGAGTGCTGTGGGGACCACAGACACCCTACACACAGCTTTGCCCCTTCCCAGGGGCACATACACCTCTGTCCTCATCACCCACATGTCCCACTGTGGGGCCCCACTGGCCGTGGGGCTGCTTTCCTCTGCACTCGCTTTTAAGCCCCTTCTCGTATCCAGCATCTCCATCTGCCAGCTCTGCTGGCAGGCATGGGCTCAGCTACCTTCTTTTTCACATTAAAATCCCTTTCCTAGTGATCTGCCCATTCCCTAGCACTCAGCTGTGCTTCCCCTCTGGTCTGCCCCCGCCGCCCCTCTGGGGTCCTGCATGCTGCAGCATCTCCCCAAAAACATCATTCCTGTGGCCCTGGCTGCCCCTGCTCAGGGAGACAAAGTCCAAGAATGCAGCACTGAGCCCTTGGGGTCTCTGGAGGCCTCTTTCCTCCCTGGGTGGTTGGGTTGTTGGTTCTTCCCTCATAACTGGATGCAGAATCATGACTCACTGCAGCTTCTGCTCCTCAATCCATTGCACTGCCAACAAACACCTCTGGCTGGATTTCAGGCAGTGCTCAGGTGGGTGCTCTGACGGGGCCTGGATTCGTTATGCTCCAAGCACTCCTGCTCACGCTGCCCAAAACTCTTGTCAAAAGAGCTGTGTGGTTTTTCACTTGGCTTTGGTGCACAGATAACTTATTCCTGGACTGAGCATCCAGCAATTAATCAAACGGTTAAAGCTGAACACCTGCCTCCTGGTTTTGCCCCCTCTAATTTTATGGACAGTCATATAAATTTCCCTATGATTATATATCAAATGAAGCAATCATGTCCTATGTCATATCCAACTTGTGAAAGACGTTTTTGGAAAAACCTGGATTGCAGCCACCTCTGGGGTGCAGCACTGCATGGCTTTAACAGCCACCAACCCCTGTGTCAGGCACCTAGCCCACATGCCCCCAGTGACACAGCTGGGGTTTCCTCCTCCCTCACGCTCAGCACAGCTCGTTTCGGAGAGCTGCTGGTGTGAAGTCAGAGGGAAGCATTCAACAAACCATAGCTGGAAGCCCTGGGAAACTGCTTTACAGTTTAAAAACTCAGAGTCATCTTTATTCCTAATGATGCCAGCTCTGTGATGTCAGGCCAGCCAGGGGAAGTCTTTGCGTGCTAAGATACTTCAGGAGGTAGTGACGATCCCAAGAAAACGCCCAGTGTAACAGAAAAGAGAGCACAAGATGTTTCCAGGAGCTGGAGCACCCATCATCCAGCCCCATCAGGACTAACGGCCTCAGCCACTCGTCCTAATGATGCTGGAGCACGCTGCGGCAGCACGGCCACTCCACGGCACAGCACCTGCAGCGGCTGGCCCGGGGGGGGGGGGCCCCCCA